AGCTCTCTCTCGCCTGGCTTCTGCGTCTGGATTCTGGTGTAAGTCTTCCTTCTGTTTATTAAAGCTGTATATTTTGTATTAAGCTAGTCTGGCGGATCTTTTATTACCGATCACACCGTGCCCCTTCAAAGAAATATTCCTAACAGAGGAGTAATTAAGACCAAAGTACATGATATACAGGTGTGAAATGTGATAGTGAAACCCATCTTTCTAAAGCGTATGCACTAAAAAAAAAATAATTGTTTTGCATAAAGTAGAAGGGAGACCATTTGGGAGGAGGAAACAAACAAGAGTGGTGGAAAGAGATAAGAAAAGATCATGAGGGCTGGAGAGATGGCTCAAAGGTTAGGAGCACTGACTGCTCTTCCTGAAGTCACGAGTTCAGTTCCCAGCAACCATATGGTGACTCACAACCATCTGGAATGACAGCTGGTGCCCGCTTCTGGCATGGAGGTGTATAGGCAGGAGGAACATTGTATACAAAATAAATAAATCTTTTAAAAAAAAAAAAAGACGAAGAAAGAAAAGATCATGATCTGGTCAGAGGTGGTGCATGTCTTTAATCCCAGCACTTAGGAGGCAGAAGCATGCAGAGCTCTGTGGATTCGAGGCCAGCCTGTTCTACAGAGCCGGTTCTAGGATAGCCAAGACTATCCAAAGAAACCCTGCCTTGGTTCAAAACAAAACAAAACAAAAAAGTTCATGAGAAATAGTGAGTATGGACAAAGTATGCTACATACATGAATAAAAATGTATGTCACAATGAAGCACACCATTTTTACAACTAATACATACTTTTCAATTTGAGGGGAGGGCCGTTTCTGTTTTGTTCTGTAGACCAGGCTGGCCACAGAACTCACAGAGGTACAGAGATCCTCCTGCCTCTGCCTCCCAAGTGCTGAGATTACAGGCCTGTGCCACCATGGCTCAACTTTATATATATAAGTATTTTATATATATAAATAACAGGCAGAGCTGAGGAGATGGCTCACTGGATGAGAGCACTTGCCGCATAAGCTTGAGGGCCTCAGTTCAAATCTCCAAGACCCACATAAAGAGTGGGACACGGTTGTGCACACCCATAGCCCCAGCACTCTAGGGGTCACAAACAGGGTTCACTGGACTTGCTGGCTACCGGTCTACTTCCAGATTCAGTGAGATCAAGGCAGAGACTGATGGAGCAGAATACCCAGCATCCTCCTTTGCCCTTTCTCTGTGCAAGCGCAAACACATATTCATCATACCTCGTACATGCACAAAATATTTAAAAAATTTTAAGCTAAAGTATTTTTATTTAAAAGAAACAGGGCATGGGGACGTGTGCCTGTGACCCTGGTACTTGAGAAGTTGAGGCAAGAGAATTAGGTTCAAGGTCAGCCTCTCTGCATGTCCAGAAATGGAAACAAATACTAATGATACCTACATACACACGAATGGTGTGTTAGCCATGTCACAACACTGTTTTGTTATATACCCATTTACTGGTGAAATAGAATTGCTAGCTCTTTTGTTGATGAGGAAACATCTTTCAGGATTGAAGAGGAGATTAAAGAGTTAATTATAAATCCACGAGCCTTTAATCCTAGCATTCAGAAGACAGAGGCAGGAGGATCTCTGTGAATTTGAGACCAGTCTGAGCTACATAGTGAGTTAAGGGTCAGCCAGAACTGTATAGTGAGACTTTGCCTCAAAAAAAGAAAAAGGCAAACATAATAAAATTTGATCTGTTATATTGACATCTGGTTATTCAATCGTTCAATTCCACTTTAGAAGAATTACAAACCTGCCTTTTTGTAAAATGAGTACAATGGGTCATTCATTTTTAAGACAGTTTCATGCTCTGCAGTCTGGCCTGGGACTCACTGTGTAGCCAAGGTTAGAGCACTGTGCTTTGGCTTCTTCTGACTTCGACTTCTGAGTGTTGGGATTGTAGTGATATTTTGTTTGTGATCTAACAAATAAAGTTTATCTGAAGATCAGAGTGCAGAACTACTGCTAACTGAGCTACTAGTTAGCCACAGAGGCTAGGCAGTGGTGGCACACACCTTTAATCCCAGCACTTGGGAGACAGAGACAGATGAATCTCTGTGAGTTCAAGGCCACCCTGGGCTGCACAAAATTGATCCAGTCTAAAAGAGAAACAGAACCAGGCAATGATGGTTCGCCCCTCTAATCCCAGCACTTGGGAGTCACACACCTTTCATCCAGCACTAGGGAGGTGGAGACAGGAAGGGATTTGGCTGGGTGGAGAGATAAATATAAGGCAGGAAGAGACAGGACCTGGGTCATTCAGTCTGTGGATTCTTAGAGACAGGATCACCCTTTCGGTCTGAGGTAGAGGTAAGAACTACTGACTGGTTGCTCTGCTTCTCTGATCTTTCACCCCAATAGCTGATTCCAAGTTTTTATTATTAAGACCAATTAGAATTCGTACTCCATGGGATTATAGGCATTCCTGGCACACCTACTGGTACCACCTCTAGTACCTAGATTTTGGTAGATGCTGGGCACCCCCCAGCCAGCCAGCTGAATTCATTGCTCCTTTATACACAAAAGAAAGTGTACCTGTACACTATCACTATTTCCGGGTGTGTGCAAACAACACAGTGTTTGTATCCGTTCTTATCCGGGAAGAGATCCTGGCAGTGGTACGTGAATTGCTGTGTTGTCCCCAAGATGAGATGCTCGTTGTTGGAAAACAAGTCCATTCACGTGCCTAAAATTTGACCTGGAATAGGAGCTACAAAAATACTTAATTTTGATCATTTCTGAGTTAGTTATAGGCATCCAGCTGGCAACCATCTGGTACATACACTGAAAACAGAAAGAAGTCAAAATCACTGGAAGAAACTTAATTCAGTTTCCAAATGTCTTTGGTATATATTAAGTCCAGCTCATGACATGTTTCACAGCGCCAGCTATATAGATGGTATTTTGATATTTAAGTTAAAATTTTACTTTAAAATTTACTTTAAAATTTAATTAAAGCCAGGCGTGGTGACTCATGTCTTTGATTCCAGCACTAAGGAAGCTGAGGCAGGAGGCCTTATGAGTTTAAGGCCAAACTGGGTTAGTATCAACATACATGCACACAAAGGACAAAAAAAAACTGATAATAAAGTCAAGATGATAGTAATAAGATAATTGAAAAATATATACAGTATTGATGAAGTGTCAGGTAACAAATAGACTAACACATATTATTACCCATATGCAATAGAACTATTAATAGAACCATTTTCTCTCTCAGTCTAAGGTACTTGTATCAGTTTGATAAGTATTTTCTTAATGTACTGATCAGTACATCTTGTGTCTCATTCCCACAGGGTCCATGAATAGATTTCAAAGTTTCAACTCCCAAAGTGTTCATGGATGTATGATGCTGTCCATGTGATGTTGCCAGTGTATTCGTATTGGTGAAGTTACATCCTTGATAATGTTGAACTGAAATTTGTGATATGACCTAATTATGATTCTAGGCAGAGATACACTGAAATATCAGCACTATTAGAAGTAAAAGTCACACTCTTTTAGATGTAGTCCAGGCTCTCTCAAACTTGGTGTTTGAGAATGACCCTGAACTCTGGTCCACCTGTCTTTACCTCCAGAGTGCTGGAGCTACGTTTTATGTGGTGCTGGGCTCAGAACCAAAGTTTCATGCATGATAGGGAAATCATTCTACCAACTGAGCCCCAGCCCCAGCCCTGAAGGTACAGATGTTTAAAGAAATACATGATTACTATATTTACAGTTCTATCAAAGGATTATTTATAATGCCAAGTTTGGTAATGCACACATGTAATTCCAGTGCTTAAGAGGCTGAAGCAGGAAGAACATGAGTTCAGTACCAGCCTAGGCTACATACTGAGGTCCTGTATCCAAAAGTAAAACACATGCAACAGAAATGTTGTCACTGGTCTCTTAGCCAATAGAGAGCAGTGTTTCGGTCCAAAGGGCAGAGGTGTTATGGGAATGGGTGCGGCTGAATGAATAAGGCAGAGCCAAGAGATGTGTGGGCCTTGGGGAAGAGAAGTGGCGGCAGCGTAGCCGCTGGTGACCCAGTTTGGAATTTTTGTTCTGTACTGTGATAACTGTGTGCAGATCTCGTTGATTAAAATATGGCTTCTTTTTTTTTTTTTTATCTGGCACGAAAGTGGGGCTCAAACCCACAAGCCTGGGATTAAGAGTCCCATGCTCTACCAACTGAATATAACAAAAATAACCTTAAATTTGTATCAATCTACAAGAATCTATACCAATGTAAACTAGTTAAAACTAATAATTGCTGTTTTAGTTTGAAAGTAGATTTAACAATCTACCTTTTCATCCTATCATATCTATCCCCCCCCCTTTTTTTTTTGCCAAATGAGATCCCTGAATCTAATCTCTTTTGTTTAGCCCCTGGCTTTAACAATTTGTGACCAACCCCCCTTCATGATGACAAATATCCATAACCCTGAGAAAAACCCAAAATCATCCACTCTGCCTATTGGGAAAGTGGGCCTCGTATTCTTAAAATTACTTCCCACTGTCTGGGGGGCAACGGCATCTCTAGGGGGTCGCTGTAAAAACCCAAACAGTGGTTAAATATCAGAAGAACTAGCTGTCTCATTCATTTGTTGCTAGGCTCTGAGTAATGGGAAAGTGTAGAGCTTGTCTGAAGTCCCGGATGGAGTGATGTACGAGGGTGCATTACCTCAGCTGGCCACTTTGGAATTGTCCTGAGCAGTTGTAATCAAAGCCAAGATTTGGGTGGTGTTTACCAGCTTAATGGCATTATCACAATCTAGGCAGAATCATCTGATATGAGATGAAGACTCTCAATTTTCTTTTAACAACATGCCTGGGTTTAGAGAAGGAGGGAGCCACACTCCAACTCCAAAGCCAGTTTTAGTTTTTAATCGAGTCAGAACTACTTGTTTAACATATCTGTAGAAACCAGAAAAAAGAGACATTTTGAAAGCCTTATAAAATTTTGTCCTATAGGAAGTATTTCATACCATTAGGCCAGACTATTCCTTTTCATGGTAATTTTTTTCCAGATGGTTTTCCCGTCTTTTTTTAGATGCTTATTTGTCCAAAGGTCTTTAAATTCCTCAAGATAGATGTTTTTATTTTTCTGGAAAAACAAAAACAGAACTGTAAATAGAGGCTTCTCGATCCTTTCCTGGCTGCCCTGGCCTGAAAAATCACACAGAACCTAAATTAATTCCAATATTGCTTGGTCAATAGCTCAGGCTTCTTATTAACTAACTCTTACATCTTTTTTAATTTATTTTTTTATTTATTAAAAATTTCCGCCTCTAACTCTTACATCTTAAATTAACCCAATTCTATTAATCTGTGTATCAACATGAGGCTGTGGCTTACTGGTAAGGATCTGGCGTCTGTCTCCTTTGGCAGCTCCGTGGCATCTCCTTGACTCCACCTACTTTCTCTTTCTATCCCTGTTCCTCCTGGCTTTGCTCTGCTAAGTCATTGGCTGAAACAGATTTATTCATTAACTGATGGTAATAAAACATATTCACAGCATACAGAGGGGAATCCCACATCACAGAATCCTGCCCTGTCCCTGCCACATGGACTGCCTGAGCCCTCTTAGTAACACTAGTAGCCACCTCAATAACAGCTGTTTACAGCATGTGAATCATTTATTTCATCTTAATATCTAAACCCCGCTTCCCTTCCCTCAGGAACCATGAGTCGTAGTCATGATATTTTATTACAGCAACAGGAGAATAATTAGTATACTCTCTAAATGTTTTTGCAGTTCATTATAATTTTTTACAATAAATTTTTTACAACAAAATAACTATGTTTTAAGGTATGATTCTGAGATAGGATCCATCAGTATCTCCCCTGTTTTAAAGAATCCATGGTACAAGTAAGATTATGTATGGTTCCAGTGTTGCTTTGTCCTACCTGCAAAAAGGAAAGAGAGCATAGACAGGCATATTGGCTTCTTCTGTCCAGAAGTGAGGCCTGTTTGATCAGCTCATCACACGGCCACATGGATGGAACTGTGGGCTGGAGTTGCTGAGTAAAGTGTCAAACATTTAAACCCAGAGTGCCCAAGCTAAAGGACTGCTGAAAGCAGTGCAAATAAAATCCTAGCACGATTTTTTGTTTTGTTTTGTTTTTTTGAGACAAGGTGTTGCAGGATATTTGACCACACTGTGAACCCCGAGATTGTGTTATTTACTGGAAAAACCTGTTTCTGGTTGTGGTGTGGCTCAATGCTAGCACATACCTTTAATCCAAGAACTTTCTGTTTGAATATTGTAAACAGGATTAAATAAAGTCAACCATTGGTCAAGAGGTGGAGCAAGCAACCAGTTAAGGGGAAGCCACCACAGAGAATGGGGCAAAGTAGGAAAGTGAGAGAGAGAGAGAGAGAGAGAGAGAGAGAGAGAGAGAGAGAGAGAGAGAGAAGAAGAAGAAGAAGAAGGAGGAGGAGGAGGAGGAGGAAGAGGAGGAGGAGGGAGGGAGGGAGGTACAAGGGAGGGACATCTTGTTGGGGGAGCTTTTGTTTCAAGACCACATAGGAGAAAGCTCTCCTAGAATAACAGTGGAGGAGGAAGTGGCTGGCTGCTTTCTCTGCCTCTCTGAGCTAGCAGGTTTTCACCCTAGGATCTGGCTCCTGAGTCTTTATTGATTAAATAGAATTTTAGAAACTTAGGTAAAAACAAGTCAGGGTTTCTCTTTGTAGCCCTGGATTGTAGTATGAGGGCTGGCTTGTTGGGGTTTCTGTCCCACCCAGTACCCCAACAAGCCAGCAAGTCCCAAGGAAAAATCACGCACAAGACTCCATAAGGTTATAAACTGATTGGCTCATTAGGTCAGGCTACTTATTAGCTCTTATAACTTATGTTACCCCATTATTCTTATCTACGTTAGCCACATGGGCTCATTACCTTTCTCAGTGTGACAGCTTACATGTTGCTTCTTCCGTGGTCTGCACAGGAATGGCAGAGGAACCTCTCTGCTTCCCAGAATTCTCCCAGTCTCTTTGCTCCACCCCTACTTCCTGTCTGGCTTTCCCGCCTATACTGCCTGCCTGGCCAATCAGCGTTTTATTAAAATATGATTGACAGAATACAGATAATTCTCCCGCACCACTGGATGTCCTGAAACTTGCTCTGTAGTCCAAGCTGTCCTCAAATTTACAGAGATCCACCTGGTTCTGCCTACTGAGTGCTAGGATTAAAGGTGTAGGCCACTATAGCCAGCTATAATTGGATTTTTAAAGTCCATTTGGAAAATGCATACAACCCATTGAACACAGCAAAGGTTTTGTGATTTTCATTATAAGTAATAAGATGTCGAGAGTCTGTGGACATGAAATCTAGAACCCAGAAAATAAAATCATAAATCTAATAATTATGTGTGTCTTCCTAACGAGTACACCTTGTGAGATCAGGAGCAGAGAATCTGAACATTCTTGAAGTGACTCAGAGTGGATTAGAGCCATGGCTGTTTATGTATCTGTGTTCAACGAGCCCTTGCTGAAGTTTTTCTGTGTAACTTCCGTGTATGCTGCAGCTGTTGGAGAGTGAGACTGCCCAAATCCAGGCAAGATCACTGCAATGGGCTGAAGATTTGTGTCACTCCTGAGTGTCTACGAGGAACCCCAAGATAATGTCATGATTGATATTGGGGTACTACTTCAGGAAGTGATTCGGTCTTGAGAATGGCACACTCATGCGTGGAACTTGAGTCTTTAGAAGAACAATCCAGAGAGCTAGTGAGTTCCTTCCATCCAGGGTCACAGGAGAGTGGCAGTCTACAAGTCAGAAGGGGACCACACGGGAACCCTCATCTCAGACATCCAGGCTCCAGAGCTGGAGCAATGTGTATCTTCTAGTCATAAGCCATGCAGGCTCCTTTCTAGGAGCCCAAACAGACAAAGTCAACTTGTGTTCTCAGAGCGTCAGGATGAGAGGACTGGGTCATAGTGTTCTACATGCCCCCAGAACATTGTGACATACATAATTACAGGTTGACATAAATAAAAGCAATGTGCCAACAGTAAGCTAACTCACGATGACGTCTTTATTTCAACATGTCTTCGTAGGCATATTGGGGGGGTGCCAAACCACAAATAACCACACAGAGATTTATTATTAATTATGAAAGCTCAGCCTTAGCTTCGGCTTGTCACATTAGCTTTTAAATTAAATTAACCCATTTCTATTCATCTATGTTTTACCATGTGACTTTTTACCTTTCTTTCATTCTGTACATCCAACTCCCTTCACGTCTCCTTGTCATCTCCCTAGTGTCTCCTTCACATGTAGATTCACCTCAAGTTTTCTCTTCCTGAAAGTCCTGCCTATTCCCCTCTGCCAAGCTATTGGTCATTTAGCTCGTTATTAAACCAATAAGAAGACACCTTAGGCAGAGACACATCTTCACAATATAAACAAATATTCTGCAACATTCTGGACTAAAAATATGAACTTAAATTGCAATGTCAAGTTCTAGTTGCTAGGCAGGGTAGGAGTCCTTGGATATGCTTCTTCCCAATCATCCTTAGGTCCACAAAGTAAAGATGCCCCTTAATGTCCACAGTAAGTTTTCAGGGAAAGAAGTTGGAGCGGCAGAGGGAAGGGGGGAGGGAGCGGGGGGAGGAATGACGGCAGCTATTCCTCTGCTGACTTGAGAAAACTCTGAAAGTCTGTCATAGGGATTCCTACATGCAATGAAGTATCATACACGTTCCTCCCATGTTTACAAGTGAACAATCATGACCAAGGTAATATGTCAGTAACTCAGAGGGCTTTGAAGATTAGGCAGATATAGTCTTAATTTGGTCTTTGGAAGCTCCATCATCAGGCATTATAGTTGAGTGAGCAGACAATCAGAGTACAAGCTAGATCATGTCCCCCATTTGAGCTCCAGGCTATAGATCCTGATGAAGTATGACTTCTCTGTGCTGCCTCCCTCCCGAACACCTGTCATTCTGTCATCCTTCCTTCTGTAACTTGAAACACTTTTAGCCGACAAGATTATACAGGCTTCTTTCTAATTTCCTAACTCTCTTAGTTAGGGTTTCTATTGCTGCAAACAAAAACAGCAACAATAGCAAAACCACCATGATCAAAAATCAAGTTGGGGAAGAAAGGATTTATTTGCCTTACACTTCCACATTGCAGTTTATTACTGAAGGAAGTCAGGACAGGAAATTCAAACAGAGTAGGATCCTGGAGGCAGAACCTTATGCAGAGGCCATGGAGAAATGCTGCTTAACTGAATTGCTCCCCATGACTTGCTCAGCCTGCTTCCTTTTAGGACCCAGGATTACCAGTCCAGGAATGGCACCACCCACCATGGACTGGGCCCTCCCCCATTGATCACTTGAGAAAATGCCTTATAACTGAGTCTCATGGAGGCAATTCCTCAACTGAGACTCCTTCTTCTGATGAGTCTAACTTATGTGAAGTTGACACACCAAAACAGCCAGTACAATAGCATTGAATGTTGATCCTTCTAAAAGATTTTTTTTTTTTAGAAAGAGTCTCACTGGGTAGCTCTCAATGGTCTGTTACTCTCCACATAGAATAAGCTGCCTTCAAACTCACAGAGATCAGCCTGTCTCTGCCTTACAGGTACTGGCACTAAAGGCATGGGCCACAGCACACACGCAGAGGTCAGAGGGCAAGTTTTCTCCTTCCATCTTGTTGAGGTAAGGTCTCTCTGTGTCTGCCATGTTGTGTACTCAGGCTGCTGGATAGCAAGCTTCTGTGTGAGTCTCCTGTCACCTCTCACCACACCTCGGGAGTGCTAATGTCACAGCTGTATGCAAACGCATAAGGTTTTTCATGTGGGTTTGGGGGATCTAGTTCAAGTAGTTAGGCTTGGTGGCAGGGACCCTTACCGGCTCAACTGTTTCCCTTACCCCTACCTATAGCAATTTTTGACAAATTCTTCCTTTTGGTACCTTTGGAGACATTAAGTCACATACATTTATGACATGCAATGAGAAACAGTCTCACTGAAACAAGGGGCATATCAAGTAACTTGTATACTCTGCATTACATCAAAATGTCACTTTTTTACACTGTTTGCGTCAGAAAAAGTAAAGAAACTGGTAAGTAATCGCTCCATTTGTTTTTAAATTGATGTGGTTTTTTTTGAGTTGGTCTTCAGAAGACTCTGATTGACTTTGGGGGGAAGATAATAATGCTGCCATCTTCCAGGGTGCCAGGACATACCTTTAATCCCAGCACTTGAAAGGCAGAGGCAGGCGATCTTTGTGAGTTCAGGGCCAGCCTGGTCTACAGAGAGAGTTCCAAGACAGCCAGGGCTATTACTGAGAAACCCTGTCTCAAAAAACAATAATAATAATAATAATAATAATAATGCCATATAACTACAGTATTTTGTCCTGTGACAGGTTCACAATGTTATTGGAAGCAGCAGTCCTCAAGCCTGGTGTTTCCACAGACATACTGATGCGTTCTATTCAATGGTGTGGTATTTTGAATACAATGTGTTGCTGATGTAGTGTGCTATACTGAGGTCCTTCCCTCTTCCTCATGTCATCAAAGGAAGAGTGTCATTATTCTTCAAATGGTCCTTAGGTCAGCAGCAGCAGGGTCATCTGGGACCTTCTCAGTTCTCCCGTTGAATTGTTGAATCAGAAACCCCAGAAGGCTGCGGACACAGCTCTATAATAGAATGGTTGCCTAGTCCACAATATCTTCAAAAATTATACATCCCCATGCAGCAAGAAAACAAGGAACTCTGGGAAGAGGCCTGGGCTTTCTTGACTTAAGAAATCATCGAGAGTAAAGTCCCCTCAAGTCTGAGGACCTCTGACCTGGACCTGTTCCTTGCCGATTACTCTTCCTCAACACTGAAAGTAAACTCAGCAAAGAATCAAAAGAACTTTCAACACTGTGGGTAGGTCTATTCACACCAGGGAGAAAAACATGCTTCCGGTGGCAATTGTGTGTCCCTAGACAACTTAAAACTTGAAAGCCTCCAAGCGGCTGCCCCTCCCCTCCCCAGGGAGAACTGAAACCGGAGCCCTGGTCACCTCTTCCTCCCCTCAGTCACGGTGGAAGCACAACCCTCCCCTCTGGGCTTCAAATCATGGATTGGAAAGCCGCTTTAAACATCCATCCAGATTTCAAAGCAATGGTAGCAGAAAAAATCCGTGTCAGGAAGTTCTCCAGCAGCGAGAAACGTAGGAAAAGGATGGGGCACACGACTTGAGAAGGGCCTGAAGGGACTTGGGGAGACTGAGGCTTGGGATAGGGAGATTGGAGCAAAATAGGAGACCCGAGACCCTTGAGGGCATTTTTTCTATGTCATTAAAAATCACAAGTTGCATCTCATGCTAATTCATACAGTTTTCGGAATGATTTTATTTATTTATCAAGACAGGGTTTCTCTGTAGCCTGGGAACTTGTCCTGAAATTCACTCTGTAGATCAGGCTAGCCTCGAACTGATAGAGATTCCCCTGCCTCTGCCTCCCAGGTGCTGGGATCAAAGGTGTGCGCCACCACCGCCTGACTTGGAATGAGTGTTTAATAGGAACAAACTGCTTGGAAAGCCGTTATGATTTGACCCGAGAACTCAAGGGACGCGATTCTCACCTTGGGAAGGCTGCTATAATTGTGGTTATAGGCTGGCTTTCTCCGCTCACTTTCAGATTTCAAGCTGGGGGCGCATTGGATGATTGCTCTTGACTGACTGTTGTCACCTGCCACGTCACTTTGTTCTCAGAGGAGGAAGTGGGATAAACAGAGGACCAACCGCCCCAGCGCCCTTACTCAGCTACTCAAAACCTTTGGTCTCAACACTCACGGCGCAATGTGCTCTAGAATCTAGTGCCTGCAACGGCCTTGGCATAGAATGCGCTCAGACACCTAATCCTCCACACAAAGATTTGTTACCCCAGAGGGACAATGTGGCAGTGTGTGTGTGGCTGGGGGGTGGGGGGAGCTTCCTCTGGATTGCAAAGACAGCACTAGGTGGTCTGCAGGAGTGGTTTTTAAGGAGACAAAGGGGAAGCCTGTGTTAGCATGAGGTAAAAAATCCTGATTGGACATGAGAACCAGTGTAACCAAATAATGAATTTTGATTGTTGAACCCTGGTGTTTTGATAGCTGGGCCTTGGAATTTTAGTGGGGCAGAAAGAAGTGGCTAAATAAGGTACTAGACTTTAGGATTAGCTTTAGGAATATAATCTAATGGTTTAGCACGGGAGAGGAAAGGGGGAAGGGCAAGGCCTGCTGGTGCTATGTTTGCCATGCTCAGGCCTGTTAGAGAACCAACCCTTCAGTGCCCGTTGAAGGTGGGCCTGGGCACTCTGCAAACGGGTGAGGCTTGTTTTTGTATTATCAAGATAGATTTTCTTAGGGCTAAAATAAAATGAAGAGTGTCAGAAATTCCAAGAGAAGATTCACATACAAAGTCTCCTCCAGGCTAAATGCTACCTTTACTGAGTGGATAAATTATACCCTATGGGCTAAACTAGCCTGTAGCCTGTTTTTACAAATGAAGTTTTATTGGAGCACAGGCTTATTCATTTGTGTGTGGTCTATGTCTGCCTTTGCATCAGTATTGTGTACTTTCAATGGTAAACATATGGCCCATAAAAGCCTGAGATATTTACTATTTGCCTGTTTTAGTAAGAATGGCCTCCACAAGTTCATATATTTGAAAGCTTGGTCATCAGGGAGTGGCATTACTTGAGAGGACTAGGAGGTGTGACCCTGTTAGAATAGCTGTGCCTTTATTGGAGGAAGTGAATCACTGAGGGTACACCTTGGGTTTCAAAAGCCCAAACCTGTCTCAGTGTCTTTTCTCTCCTGCTGCCTGCAGAGCTGAACTTAGACCTCTCAGCTACCATATTGGCCTGCATGTCAGCATACTATTCTCCCATGAGTCATGAGGACAATGAATTATTATTCATATTCTTACTGGTGTTCACCTCCTAGCAGCTTATCCATGTTCCACATCCCTGGCCACAGGCAATAAAAACACAGACAGCCCTGTCATGATTTGAGAGTTAAATATCTCCCGTAGGCTCATGTTTTGAATGCTTGATCTGCAGCTACGGCATCTGGGGGAGAAGTGGCTTCTCCGTGGAGGAAGTCGGTCACACAGGTCCCTAAACCCCCTCTGCCTCATTTCCCCGTGGCCAGAACGAGGCATAAGGTGTCCACCTGTCACATGGCCCTGCATGCAGAGATAGGCAACTAGGAAGTAAAGTATGAAATAATATGCCAAGTGAACCACTGCTGCTTTGAATTCTTTCAGGTGATTGGTCACAGCGAGGCAAAAGTCGCACTGTCCTGAGATAGTTCGACTTACTTTTCTTTTTTTTAAACTTAAAGATGATGCAAGAGCAGTAGCATTGAGTAGAGACTCAATGTCTCTGTCACAGTGCTGCACTGTGGAGTCTGTTGAGTGAGTAATGGACAATCCGACCCTTTCTTTCTCTCTCTCTTTCTCTCTCTTTCTTTCTTTCTTTCTTTCTTTCTTTCTTTCTTTCTTTCTTTCTTCCTTCCTTTCCTTCCTTCCTTCCTTCCTTCCTTCCTTCTTTCTTTTTTTCCTTTTTGGTTTTTCGAGACAGGGTTTCTGGGTAGCTTCTGGAGCCTGTCCTGGAACTAGCTCTTGTACACCAGGCTGGCCTCGAACTCACAGAGATCCGCCTGCCTCTGCCTCCCGAGTGCTGGGATTAAAGGTGTGTGCCACCATTGGCTGGCCCAATCCTTTCTTTCAATGCTGACTCACAGCAGCAAACCACAGTCCCATTCCAACTGGTGGTCCCAAAAAGAAGCGATGCTCTTCAGTGTGTAAGGTGGCCAGTCTTCTTTCAGATACAGTTATTCAATAAATAATATTATTTCATGAAGGCTTTGTATCAGGTGACTTTGCCCAACTGCAAGCTACTGTATATTTTCTATGTATGTTTAAAATAAATAAGGTAGGCTAAAAAGACTATGAGGTTCAGTAAGTTATACAAATGAAATGTATTTTCAGTCTGTCATGGGTATGTGATATTACCCCATAGGTTACAAAGTCAAAGAGCATTTGTATTTTCCCCCCTTCTTTTTAAGATTTTAGGCTGGCAAGATGGCTCAGTGGGCAAGGTGCTTGGCATCAAGACTAATGACCTGAGTTTGATCAGGATCCTTACAGTAGAAGGAGAGTACCACCTCCTGAAAGTTGTTCTCTGCCCTCCACGTAAGTGTGGTGGCACCTGCCCTTGCCTGGCCTTAAACTTGTGACAGTGGTCTAGCTTCTGCTTCCTAAGAGCTGGGATCATATGTCCAGCTTCAGAGCATTTTAAATTCTTCTTTTTGAATTCTTTTTCTTTTTTTTTGCAAGAACATTTTTAAAAAATCTTTATTTTATTTATTATATATATAATATTCTGTCTGTGTGTACACCTGCAGGCCAAAAGAGGCACCAGACCCCATTACAGATGGTTGTGAGCCACCATGTGGTTGCTGGGAATTGAACTCAGGACCTTTGGAAGAGCAGGCAAATCTCTTAATCACTGAGCCATCTCTCCAGCCCCTTGAATTATTTTTCTTTCATTATTTTATGTGTATGGGTATTTTGTCTGAATGTATGGCTGTGTACTGTGTGCATGCAGGACCCACTGAGGTCAGGAGTGGACATTGAATCCCCTGGAACTGGAGTTAGAGGCAGCTGTGAGCTGCCATATGGATGTTAGGAGTCAAACCTGAGTCCTCTGGAAAAGCAGTCCCTGAGCTGCGTCTCTGACCCGCTGTAGATTTCTTTTTAAAGGAATGATCACACACTAACCACAGTAAAAACAGTAATTCCTTCTACCTCATCTCCCACCTTTCAAATGACCCAAGTTTGCACACGCATAAGCCTGACTTTATACACATTTTGCTGTATGCTATAGTTTGGATGTGGTTGTGCTCCCCACCAAATGCACACAGGGATTTCACCCCTAAAGTCATACTTTAGTGGTATGAAGAGGATAGACAGTTAATCCAGCCATGGTGTTTAGTGGTGGGACATTTGGAAAGTGGTTCGAGATAGGTAAGGTTGTAAGGATGAAGTTCCCTTTGTTGAATCCTGGTGATTTTACATAAAGAGAGAGAAACCAGGCACTCAGACTGGACAGGCACACTCTCTGTCTCTAGGCCATGTGACACACGCTCTGTTTTAGACTCGGCCAGCAAAAGACCATCATAAGACCTAAGTCAGTGTGAGCAGCATGCCCTTGGGCCTCCAAAATTGAGCTTTTGCTCACAAGTAGCCTTCCACAGGTATCCTGTTATAGTCACGAGCAGGACGAATGAGCCATATAAATGCGTGCATGCATATTCTGCATTTTCTTCGCTTCTGTGAGGGAAATGTTTTCATTCAATGTGAAATCTGCTTCATCACTCCACGTTTGTAGACAACCAATTCTTTTTTTTTTGTTTTGCTGTTGCTGTTGTTTAATTAATGTACCTTATGTATGTGAGTACTCTATCTGCACCTGTCTATGTACACCTTTATACCAGTAGACAGCATGACATCCCGCTAGAGATGGCTGTGAACCACCATGTGGCTGCTGGGAATTGAACTCAGGACCTCTGGAAGAGCAGACAGTGCTCTTAACTGATAAGCCATCTTTTCAGCCCCAGACACTCAATTCTTTGTAGGTGGAACCTATTGAAAGCCCTAAACCCTTATCCTGTTTTGAAAACACTGCAGAAAACCGTTTGTTTTCTTCTGCTGCAAACATATAAGAAGACTGGGAAGTATAGGTTTATATAAAATTATGTATCAGGTATTCAAAGTCTTGTATAACTTTTAGGAAGGGTTTCAGGTTTTGCTTCGTTTGGTGAGGCAGTCGGGTTTGAACTCATGGACTCCCACATGCTTTTAAGTATATACTCTATCACTCCTGTTCCACAGGATGGCTATTTTTATAGGCAACATGGAGACCCAGTACATTGCCTTCTTACAGGAATTCAGATCTGAGCGAAATGTTTACGTCTTTTTTCTTTTTCTCTTTTCTCTTCTTTCACCTCCCCCTCTTCCTCTTTTTTTTTTTTCTTTTTTTCTTTTTTTGAGACAGGTTTCTCTGTGTAACAGCCCTAACTGTCCTGGAATTAGCATTTGTAGACCAGTCTGGCCTCGAACTCACAGAGGTCCTCCTGCTTCTGCCTCCCGAGTGCTGGGATTAAAGGTGTGCGCCACCCCACCCCCTTCTCCTCATCTTCCTCCTTTCCACCAAATACTTAGAAATAATCCTCTTTGCTAAACTTCCCTTCATGTAACAGACCTTGCCTCTAGTCAAATTCTTACTGAAAGTGAATCATGGGATGGCAGGTACATTTGTGTTTCCTATGAGATCGATGGTGCAGCCAGGCATGGCGACACATGTTCCAGGGAGACAAAGGCAGAGGTAGGAAGGCTGGGAGTTTAAGCTGGCCTGTGCAGTAAGCAAACCCTTTCATCGGGGAAAGGTGGTCTGTTGTGGAGAGGGATATCATGTCCTACCCATTAGGGAGGCACAGGACTGAAGGCAGAGGGCCAGGTGAATGGACACCCTTGGGTGTAAGCAGACAAGGGGAGGGTGACAAGGAGGCAGAGGAGAGGGGAGGTAAAGGCAGCAGTGTGTCCAAGGCATTACTGCTGGGTTTTGTTTTTGTTTTGGGAGGGCCTGCCACCCAGGTCCCAAATAAATACACGGAGACTTATTTTTTCTTATGAATGCCTGGCCTTTGCTTGGCTTATTTTTAGCCAGTTTTTCTTAATTTAAATGATTCCATCTACCTTTTGCCTCTCGGATTCTACCTTTCTGTAGTCTATATAC